TTTTGCAGATAATATTTATATTTAAACTACATGGCGTACTTCTCAAGTTTTTTTTTCACCTGGGTCAGGTGAACCAATGCGGCCTCTTTTCTGTCGGCTTTTCTGTTCTTGGTACTGTTCCTAACGTACAGATTTTTTCGTTTGGGAAGGAGCCATCACTTACCATTTGCCATCTGTCATTTAACATATACAGAGTGCACTGTTTTAGAGATGGCGGATCAGAGGTCCTTGGATCTTGTAAAGGTGATTTTCGCAATCGGCCGGTTCCAGTGAAGGCGAAAATTCAGTACCACAAAAATACAGTGACGGTAAATCTAGTCATAACTTGTTTTGGATAAAACTGAGACGGAAAAGCGACAGGTGGACAACATACCAGACTATTGCAGCATCTGTCATGTGATGTATATGTATATGAGGAAAATTAGTAATTAAGAAGTAACCATACGCCCAATTCAGATCGAGACCGACTAGCGACCATCTGCTTTGCAAGATCTTACCCGGGATCATTTAGTCGAATAGGCAGCCTCCTTGCCTTCAAGAGACCTTGGATTGGAGTCTCGAGCAGGTCACTCACCTTTTATCTTTCTCAGCTATGTAAACGAGTTTCACTTTCTCAGAAAGAAACAGGAGATTACAAGCTATAGTAATCACGTAGCTGGATATAGCCATAAAAAAGAAAATCAGCGAAACATTTATGACTGATGGCAGAAACAAGATCTAGCACCCCGTTATAAGATGTATGACAGAAGAGGGTGACAAATAACGCTCAGTTATAAAGGCATAAGGAAGACCGACATTTCAAGAAACATTTTACACAGTGTTTTTCGAAATGTGTTACAGTAATATCTGAGACAGATACCTGTCAGCTTTTGAAGTGGAAAATGATCTCTTGCAACTTAGGTTTTCGTCACCAACGGCTTATCATTTGAGTCTCAATACGAACTGTGTTGCACTGTTTCGGGTGTAGTTTTGCCTAAAAACGGCTATTTTGGACTTTCTGCTGCTACCGGTGGAATTGGGGGTGAGTGGAACAGTCTTTAAATATACGTTTTAAAATGTGCTGTTTTAGATGATCACGATGTTGTATCCTTTAGTACCTACTCGATCGTTTCTCCTGAACTTCCGCCGGTATTTTGACCCGCGTTTACGTACTGTTCTGATTGTTTTACGATGGCAAGTAATTTTAGCCAGCGCATAAACTATCGCAAGAGGAAGAAAAGAAAACCGAGGAGGAGTATGAGCGAAGAAGGAAGGAGTTCGAACAGGAAAAAGAAAAGTAATTGGAGTAGCACTAGTCAGAAACATGGCTCCTTTCTTTCTGTATGCTAACTTTTTTAGATTCCGTAAAGAACACCCCGATAAGGCTGTCGACGACACTATGCCTTATGCGAATGTAAGTTGCAGCTTTAAACTGATCTGCTAATTTTAAGGCTAAGGTTAATCGGTTTAAGGTTGGCTTTAAATATACTTAAGTTGAATACATAGTGTCAGTCGGTCAGTCAGTCAGATTTACTTAAATGATACCTAAGGCACAAGATAAGTTGCCAAAACCTATGTTCAAATACAAAACAACAAAACGGGTAGTGTAAAAGTGGATCCCTATCAGACTGAGCAGAATCTGTTCCAGAATAACTGTTCTTCTTGGGATAAATCAGACAGCGAACGGAGCGACTAACCGACGGTAAACCGTAGCCAGGTACTTGCAGGAAGCGCACACGAATCTTGGCCTTTTAGAAAGGCGATGTTGGAGACATAAATATAATGGATGCCTGGGTTCGTTAGAATATAACTACCCAGAATAATTGTTGCCTTTGTCAAGCATCTGATTAAGGTACAAACGGACTCCTCCGTGCCGCAGCGTCTGTGTCGGTTAATTAATTTTAAAATGCTGCAGGTGCAAAGCAATTGTTTTCTCTGGATACGGCTCAGCTTTCACTGCTTGACTAAACACTGTGTATCGTCCTCGCAGGACTTATGCTTATCTGGGCAGTTTGCACACTCGATCAAATTGATCTAAGTCATTTTACCACCACCAAGTGAAGTAATTTTCCCAAAACCATCAAGGCGACAACAAGCGAAGTCTTCCACATTGAGGATGTTTTCATCGTCCATGGGATTTACTTAAGTTTCTTGTAAGAAGTTGACGCAAATGTTACTTAAAGTGGAAGGAGGTGTCTCAACCTCATCGAATTTCGTCAGAAGTTTTGACAACTTTTCGAAATTATCGCTTAAAAATGCAGTCTGTTAGCGGATGTTTTTTGCAGCCGTGTGCCATCAGATTTTTCTGCCACGTCGGACATATAGGGAGTAAGAACGAAGCACCAAGAAATCCACGAGATGGTGTGTGCTGTAGCTAAATGGTCACGGCGTCGACTTACATGATGACGTATCATGAAGTAGGGTGGCTGAATTTTACGCGAGACTTCGTTGTAGTCCTCAAACCTTCAGCTGAGGATTGTCTGCTGCTTTAACATCGTTACGCGTGCACTCTTGAACATTGACCAGTGTGCTGAAAGATTGTGGTTTCTTGGGTTTACGACATTTCTGGGTATGTTCAGGTAGTCTTTCCTTCATTACCTGCTTCGTCAAAAAGTCACAGCGCCACTCGATTCCCTTAAATTTTCGCTTCTCTACATTGCCATACAAAGCTTTTCTATAGTGATTGATATGACATTGATGAGCGTAGCCCGCGGTCGCAGAAAAGTATGCGGTTGTTTTTAATTTGCCATCAGGGCAGTTTGTCGGAAGAGCTTTTTTCGTGTAGTCATAAGATCACTTGTTCCAACCTTCTGTCGAATCAGGATCTTCATTCTTCTGAGACATAAATAAGTACTACTTTGTAGTACTACTGAATCAGGAGGCTGCGCTAACTTTTCATCGTAAGTCTGATGAAGACACCTGTACTTCGATGCTTGATTTATGAGTTTTCGCTATAGCAAAGAACATCTCTAGTCTGCTTCGTAACTAATTAATGCGGAAGTATACATTATGCGGTACATTGAGATTGCCAGGATTACTCACCTTCTTTAGCCCACTTGCGATTGTTAGATAATCATTTGCAGACACATAATTTCTCTGATTTGTGATGTCCGCTGAATTTCAATTTTTCGAAAGTTTCTCAAAGTCTCGCTTTGCTGCGTCGTAAAAAAATCAGTTTTTTTGATTAAAAATAGTTTATCGATTGTTTATTTCTTGTTTACGTATATTTGTTTGTTTATCCCGTAACGGCTGTATACGTAAACGTTTGTAGTGCTTTATGCGGTTAAATAGGTAATAACTGTCACGAAAACTATACTCTTCTTGGCTTTATGATTATGAAGTAGTGTAGTATGTAAAAAATTATTGGTTGCTTTTTTTGAACGTTAAAGCCAGTCAGAAATTTTTTCTTTAAAATTAGTAGGAATTGTTTTTTCATTTTGCAAATTTTCACATTAGACAAATTTTACAGAAAGAATAGTATATTTCGTTAATTACGTTGCACGATTCGTTAAATGATGAATGTTTTAATTTAAACAAATATTTATAGTCCGAATCAGTTTTAATTATTATATTAAACGTGTATTAACGCATATTATATTATTGCGCCTTAATTTAAATCCATGATCGGTGCTCAAGAAGACTTGGGGCCTCTGCTGTAGTTAGAAACTATGACTCATCATGTCGCGTAGTCGACGGGAACTGCTGCACCAACCAGAAGAAAATCCTCGAGCCACTGCGTTGATGAGCTCCCCTGGTTGGTTGTTCTTTTATCACGGTTTTTTGGAGCAAATAATTCGTTAGAGCGCGGAAGAACAGCAGGTGCCTTCTGTATGAATTTTAAGTTACCATTGGCTTTGACGCAAGAAGACTCATCTGCGGACTGGCTGAACAAGGGCAGCCAGTTTCAGACCATTGGGCAGTTTTACCACAGCTTCGTTGGCGACCATTTCTCGGGTTGGCGGTTACCGTAATGGCCAAAAGGGAAAGCCCAGTTGTAGTTCATCAGGCTGAGCAATTCCTTTCTTGAATCTTTGTCTACTCCCTGCCACAAGGACGAGAGGATCTTTTAGGGAGCTGAGTATGATTCTGTATGGAAATCATAATACCTGGTTTTTTTCAACTGTCCTTGTCAGTTGGCCATGAAGATGTAATCAGGCAATGAACATCTGACTGGGTCTTTAAGAAGAATTACCAGTGATTCTCAGTTCCTACTCACTGCTGTCACTTCTACTTTGCGTTATTTTTGCAGACTCACTTAAACTGTTTCATGAAGTTTCTATGAGAACGTCCCTAGTATGGAGTCGTTGGTTTCTTCTGCTCGAATTGACTTCAGTATGGTTGCTTGCGCAGTCAGAAAAATTTTCTGTTTAAATCTGGTTAGTTGGTTCTCATTAACATGGTAGTTGTCAGAGTCTGGAAGGAATTTTGAGATTCTCTACTTCACATGTTACCGTTTCTAGTACGAAGACGAAAGCCTGAGACAACTGCGAATCATCTACGAAACCCAGTCAAGAATAATTAATATGCTGATTAGCATGGACAACAGACTGTCGAACGCGAAAATTCCACAGCCCCCTGCTGTCCCTGGCGGGGTTGTCGGCGACACGTTCCGAAGAGATGAAGTCAAGCAGGTATTGGATTTTACGAACAGTATGAGCTACATTGTCAAGGAGCTGAGGTATAGTCATATAAAATGTACATTTTACGGTGATGTATTATATGTGGATTTAGGAGCATAACCGGTGAAATTAGTTCGCGGCTTACTGTTGTCGAAAACAGGCTTATCTCTTCCGGACCCGTTTCACCACAGCCCGTTCAGCTACAAGAAATGTTACAACCACGGCTGGATGAAATAAAACAAAGCGTCGAACAAATGCGGATCATGCAAACCTCTCAGGTTAGCGTCTTAACTGCGCTACTGTCACATTACAATACATGCACGCATGGTATACCCTTCAATTTTGACTTGCACGTAATGAATTTCGCCACTTCGATGACCAAGGCGTTCTGGAGTACATTCCCGCTATGTCGACGTAACGTCT